TTTTTTTTTTTTATTTTGAACGTCAATTAGTTGTTGTTATAATGCGGTTAGTTTTTGATCTACCAACAGCAGTCGCCATCATATGGTTAGTTGATCCAAATTGACCATAAAACTTCTTCCTTATTTATTATCACATCATTTATGAAAAATACCTTTCTTTACGGTTTTTTATGCTGCTTAAGTAACGGTATTAAATGTACCTTTTGACGCCTTCGTTGTTAGACAGCTTTTGTTAAAGTTTTTCTAATTGTGATGATAAAACTCAGTATTTATAGTGGTGTCAGATATTTTCTTGTTCAGTTTTGAAAAATTTACTGCAATAGCTTGTCGAATTTACTGCAATAGCTTGTAGCTTGCTTGTCGAAGTTATGATTATTACCTATATCCGGGCATTACTTTGGGATTCTTTATTCTGAATCAGTTATTAGCAATCCTGCAAAAAAATGTTACTGATGCATCTGTTTGATGGAAGATTTTTGTCAGTTTTAATTATGTGGTGCTCAATATATTACCGAATTAATCTGCATTTGCTGTGGTTAGACTCAGAGTTTATTTTTTTACAGTCAGTTTATTAAACTTAATTTTTTTTTTTTTTTTAGCTTAGTCAAATGTGATCGTATTATAAGGCTAATATTCTCTGAGTTTTTTGTTTAGGAGGTTCACTTATATCTATTAACAGATCGTCAAAATATGTAAAACACTATACAATTCTTCATATGTAAATTTGCCTAATTTTTTTCATACTGACTGGGACAGTCTGTATTCCTGTTCATGTTAATTTAATTTACTCTCGGCTTTTTAATGACGAAAGTTTTTTGTCTTAGAACGAAAAAAAGTAATTAACATTGCAAAATTTCGCCACTTATTTCAGACTTTTAGCGAAAAAAGTTCCATTTAGAGTGAAGAAGAAAATCGACATCTACTAAGTTTTCGGTGAAGCCTAAAACGAATGATGAAATTACCAAAACCCCACTTGAACCAGATAATTCTGCACGAGATGCAGACTGACACATCTTTCATTCAAAAAGGTTAGATATGTTTTTTTTTTATTAACTTGCGATGAGGTGCAAAAAGTGAAGAAAACGTAATTTTATGGACTTAGCAAAAGAGTTGATCGCTGGTTGTGAGCGATTTCTGTACGGGGTTTCGGCAGACAACTGAAATTCCAACTAATCCCAATGACTTAGCGCTTGCAGATTTCTAAAATCTTTCGTTTCTTTTGATGCTCCTCAGCGATGGCTTATCACTAGTGTCACTCGCCATTTGTTGTTCTTCTTGAACGTTTCTTTTAACGTAATTGTCGGGAATTTGAGAATCTTATTTGCAATTTCTGCACTAGTAATGACAATTAATTTCTGCTGCCTATTCATTTCTTCTTCCTTCTGTTCTAACCATGCTACTGTTACCGTTGACATATTCTCTTCAGCTTCGTTAAGCTTTTATTACAATGGAACCATTGTTTCTTGAAAAGTGAGATTTGTGTCGTTTTTTATGCACTGCTTATGCTCAGTAAGTCGTTACTTGGAAGGGATAAGGGGCATAATAGTCAGGTTGAAGACCAATAAAGCTCGTGTTGCGGTTTCAAAAAGGAAGGAAATAGTCCATTACAACTTTCTAAAAATCTCAAAGTTTATATGGACACCGATTTAAACATTTTATTTTGAAAAGTAGTCGGATGATAAGAAGCTGTATTATTCTGAAAGTCAAAGAAACGGAGTTGAGGGGGTTGATGCATCAAGTTTTAGGAGTAGAGAAAACTGTGATTGACCAATAATAGTTGTTTGCAGAAACAATGAAAACTATTTGAGCAGAAAGTTTACGAATTAATCTGTTTAATATTGTATCCGTTTTAGCTAGTTGGAAGATGTTTCTATTTCTTTTTAGAAAGTGAAGTGACAGTATGAATACACAAGGAATGGTTGGTAGCGATTAATGAAGGGTAGTGCATCTGCTGGGCCATACAAGGAAAGTCACAGCTGTTTATAGTTTTCTTCCAAGATAATACTGTCAGTAAAGTAATTAGAGCCATCTAGTGCGGAAGATTATAGAATATAATACAATATACTTCTTTTCTATATTTTAAAAATAATTAATTTTAAGTAGTCAAACAAGGTGAATCTTCTTTTATTTGTATGCGTATTTGAGAACATTAAGCTGGATGTAAAACTAGATTAATTTAGTTCCTTTAATTATGAGAATTTTTCAAACTTACAAATTAGGAGATGAGAGTTTATCGTAAGTGTTAAATCTGTAGCGAGGCTGGTAAAAAAACAGGTAGGGGAAAGTAGAGTTTAAAGAGAAACTGTACTCTGAACGAATTTGCTGCGACTTTTTTGGTAAGCGTTGTTCACGAATGAACGGAACCAATTACGGTAGGTTATGGCAGTTAGTTGATACTATGTTAATTTTTGCTGAAAACTCGAGGAAGCAAAATACATCTGCTAAACTTTTTTTATCTGCCAATTCTCGAAAACTTTTGGTAGGACTGATGCGTTAGAAGCCCTCGTAACGTGAAATATGGTCGTACCATTTTTGTTCTATATCAACAGTTAACCATCAAAGAAGTTGCCTTTTTAACTTTCTCTTGACTTTTACGCCTTTCATTTCCCTCATTACTGTCACCATTTCAGCTATGACAAGCTGTTTCAGTACTGCTAGGTACTGCTCATAAACTGTCTTTCAAGTAAAGACAATAGTTGTTTGAGATAAAGAGGAGGAAATCAGAAGTCCTAAATTTTTCGAAGAGTTTTTTCAAAAATCTGGGTATTATCAATGAATTATTCCTTTTTTCAGAAATTCCCAGGCAGTCGTCAATAGTAAAAAAAAAGCCTTTTACAATTGCTTTTTTAACGTCGGAGCATCCAGAAGATTTTGTGAAGAAGAAATGTGACAGTCCAAAAACTTCGTTGCAGACGAACAAGTTTGAACCGGGTTGTCCATATAGGTGTTCATTGAACCAAGGTTTCTTTTTAAAAAAAATTTTTTATAACCACTCTTTACCAGTTTTGTGATTAGTGGGACGAAATTTTGGCGACTGTAGCGAATCATCAATACTCGTTATTTGCAGCAGAAGGTCACGATACGACATCTTTACCATCTATATCTGGTATTCAAATGCCGTCACCAATTAGTGAGATCGGTTCACAGTCTTCACTCAGCTCAGGTGAAAACAGAAAGCGAAGACAACGAAGATATCGTACAACGTTCGCCACCTACCAGCTCGAAGAGCTTGAAAAAGCTTTTACTTTAACTCACTACCCAGACGCAGCTTTTCGGTAACGATAACTGAGTGATTTCTCAATTCCCTCAAAAAAACTAATCAAATATTTACAATTTTACAAGTTTTTTTTATCTTTTGTAGTAATTCCTGAACTTATTTTCAGAGCAGAATTGGGAAGGCGATGCGGACTGACTGAATCAAGAGTTCAGGTGGACAACACAAAAACTTTTCAACTTTTATATTTTTTAATTATTATTTCTTAAAAAGTTAAGAATTTTATGGTGTTTCTACTTTAAGGTTTGGTTTCAAAATCGACGAGCAAGGTGGCGTAAGCAACAGCGTAGTGTTGGAAGTCAATTTCGTACCGTGCAGACAAATCCTTATTGCATTTTAGCAGCCTGTGGAAAAGAACCGCCCAGTGCTTACAGTGACGACACAGGAGGTGTGGAGAAGGCGAGTCCTCCAACACCATCTATAAGTCCTATACAGCTACAACCAGGAAATACAGCGTTTTTGGTCCCAGCAACAACTCCTGTTTCTGCTGAGGCTTCTCTTGCGCTGTACCAACGCCAGCTTGCCGTTTTACAGCAATTTCATCATCTAGTTCCGGTGAATACTAGTTTGCCATCAATGATTTCGCCTTCTGCCTTTCTTTCTGGTTAATCTTAAACTCACCAGGAATGTTATTTGCAACAGCAAATAGTACAATGTTGCTTTAAATGATGTGATGTAATAAGTGCTGTTAGTTTTACAAACGTAAAACTTTTTTGGTTTGGGCAGGCATGTTTTTGCTTCTGGGCACAAAACATGAGTGTTAACTGGACTTGATTTAGTTAACCTCATTGTTTTGACCGATTATAACTAACAAATGGTTAGCGAAAATAATGCATATTGTATTTTGGAAAAGAGTATAGAATTGAAATTATTAGATTATTTGTCTGGTATAGTCAACTGACTGTTGCTTAGTTTTTATCTCAGTGATTGTAATAAAGATATCTATAAATATTTGTTTATAAATTTGTTTTAGCAACAGGTATTTTATTGTAGCCGTAGTATTTTACAAGTAATTATTGCATTAACTGGTTTTTTCCGTTGTTGTTGTGCTTTCTTTTAGGTATAAAAAATTTTCAATTTTATACATTGAATAACGACACTTTGCAGAAACTATAAACTGCTGGTTCAGCGAAATGAGCTTTTCACACTTCTTTGGAGGTAAAATGTTGCACAATGAGTAGATATTGACTGTAGATATTGCTTTCATGATAGCACTTTGAAATATTGGAGGATAGGTAATCACTGTTAATTTTTTTTACAGTTTAACAATTCTGATGATAAGTTTGTTAAGTTGATTTAGAAACATAGAAAATTTCATAGATTTAAAATGGTTTTTGACTAAGTTTTCGGTGCATATTTTACTCTTTGACAGTTCTATCACTTTTGCTCTTTATATAACTCATTAGACCAAAAACCTTGGGGGAAAGCTGTTCGCAAACTGCAGTTGAGTTCAGTATTCTGGTGCTGAGGAAAGTAATGTTGAGTATCTCCCTCACTGAAAATATTTTTCAGTGATACTGCAAAGCTTCATCAGTAGCTTTTTGCAACTTTAAGGTATGACCTTTAGATTAGCTGCGGTCACAGCAATGCTGCAACGACATTCTGTTATAATGATCAACAGGAGAGTAGCTGCCTCGTAAGTTCAAGTTGAAGAACAGCTTTAAAGGCGAGTGTTTGAGATAAAATTGCAAATTCTGAGCCAATAAATTTTTTATAAAAAAGTGTAAGAAGTTTTCGTTTTCAAAATGACGTCAAACATTCTTTTCAAATTTTGTTCTTTAAGACATTGTGCCTTATTACTGAAGTGTTCGACTTCTAAAAGTTAAATCCTATCTGCAAAGTTTACCTGTTACCTTTGCATAGTTCTTTAGTTTACAGAAACTTAAGTATGTGTTCTTTTCTTTTTCTGCTTCTCACTGGATTAATTTTTTTATTTTCCCTTTAGAGGAGAAAAAAACAGTAGAAAAAATTTTGCTTTAATATGGAGTTTTTTGCTATAAAATCAATCTTTTCAATAAACCTAAAACTTAATTTTGTAATAAACTGAATAATCGGTTTTATTGGTTACTCCAGTTTTCTGGTTTGGTCATAAACTCATAAAAAAAGTGCATTTATAGACGGTTGCTGATTACAGTGTTTATACTACAAACTCTGCTATCAAGGCCGATACGTTGTTCGAAATATTTGAACAATTGCGAATGAAAAGTTTTACTCAGTCATATGTGATTCTTTGCACTAATTGGTGTATTTGCCTCAAAAGTTGTCTACGTCGTAAATACAGCAACTTTCAAGAAAAAATTACCGAAAAAAAAAGGAATGGGCTATTTATATAAAAGTTTAACAACCAATTTTGGCAGTCAGATGACTGCAGTAATAATTCAAACGAAAGCTATCGATTATACTGTATTATGAAGGGTCACAACAAAAAAAAAAAAAAAAAAAATCTATCGGTTTTTTACCAATAAAAAGCTAATTTGAAGTGGTTTTGATTGGTGCTGTAGCACTGTGTTAATTCTCATAGTCACATAATTCAGCCTTACTTAGCCGCTTAATATGATACCAAAAGTGAGAACTCCCTGCTGTTAATAGCTTTAATAAAGTGTAACATCACTTAATTTATTTTTTTTATTTAAAGTTTTTTTTTTAAGGATCATTTATGATCTTTGAAAAAAAAACTTTCTTGTCAAAAATAACTGTTTTTTTCAAAGTTATCTTTGACCAGACATTTAGGAAAGTGTCAACATTTTGACATCAGAGATAATGACTTACTAAAGAAGCGTGCAATAAGCGGTTAGTTAAGCAACACTTAGATAACAAACCGTGAAATATATTTGTGAAACTTAGGGGAGAAGTGTCAACTGTAAACATTATGTGTTAATTAGCAGAAAGGTAAAACGGTAAAGTCAAGAGTACAACAGTTTATTAAAAAGCCTGAAACAAGATATTATCTTATCACCTATAAATTTGATCAACAATGTTTAAACTATTCACTTCAAAATAGGCAATAATCTAAAACAAGTTTTTGATGCAGTAACTTTGGAGCTGTTGAATAGATTCAAATAGGTGCAACTGAATTTGAATAACTGAAAAAGAACCAGTGAGATAACTCATTTAATTTTCTCTGACCTTTTTACTTGACTGGAAACAGGTGGTAAAAATTAATTCAGTTTCAATACTTAAATTTTTTCCACAATTGTCTTTGTTTCTGCGGTAATCTAGCGACTCAAGAAAACAATTTCTGACAGTTTATCAAGTAAAAAGGAAAATAAATGTATAAAATTTTATTTTACACGAACGACCAGAATCTGTGCTGCACGGAAGTGAAAAGAAAGATTAGGATAATGATAATTTCTTTAAAAAAAAAAGTCGTTTTAAATCACATATGAAGTCATCAGGCATATTTGGTAGCTTAATTTCTATTTAAAGTTTTAGTGATAAAAGTTAGTCAAAAATTTTCAGCTAACTCTCAGTTTTTTAGATTGTTTAGCCGCAATACTTGTTTGTCGATAAATCTGCAACCCAGAAATTAATAGAAAAAAACAGAAAACTTTCGCATTGTACAATAAATATTTTTGGCAGAGCAGTTTCAGTTACTAAAGATGATCGTCAACAAAAATTGATATTTGACAATTTTAAAAATTCTACTAATAGTCATTTTGGAATCTTATTGTCTAAATTTTTATTGTTGCTAATGTTTCAGTCATAAAATTTAATTTATTTTAGCAAGCCAAGACAGTGTAACTTATAAAGCACTGTACAAAGTTAAAAATTTTAAACTAATTTTTTTTTTACAAGCAGACTTTTGTTGATAAACAATTGCACTGTTCCTTTTTTCACACATTTTCTTTATTTTATGTATTTCCTTATACAGATTACTGTTTGCAATAACCTGTTGATAAAACATTCACTTTTTCGTTCGTATGGAAAACTAAAAGTTGCTTAGAAAAATTCAATTTGTGATTGTGATACAAAATTTTTGGAACTAGAGGCTGCTAAGACAGTAAGTCGTGTACCTTAAGAGTCTAAAACAGAGTATATGTGCTGTCTTCACTAAGAAAGAGCTGCTGGAGTACGTTGGAAAATCGGGAGTAAATAAGAGGTAAACGCAATCTTCTTCTACAGTCTAACTTTTTTCGTCCTCTCGTTTAAACTGGAAAGAAAGATACTGAACGGCTAGAATGTTACGATAAAAATCCAACAATTTTGTTGCAGTTCACTAATTTGTTTGAATATTCCAATTTGGCACTACAGATTATTTCGGTGCAAATTTTGAAATCAGACTCTAGAGGCAAGTACTGCTGAAAACTGCTATTAATCTTCAACTCTTCTAAGAATACCTTCTGTGATGGGCATATAACGTCTTTAAGGTTTTTAATTGCAAATCCATATTTTATGAAAGTATACATATTTATAAACTGTAGCGTCGATGGAAAAATTTTCAGAAGTGTTTTTTTATAGTCTGACGATCCGTTCCCGAATCTTTATACTTTTGGATTTGCCTTCTAATAATTTCGCTTCAATTCATCACTTTTGAGGATTTATTAGTCAAAACAAGTGTGAAAATAAAATATTAAGTTGTTTTACGAACGTCTTAATACATTAATTGGAAATTTGATGTATGGCTATACCAAACCGACTACTAATAAGTATCTAAGCAAGTTTCTTTTCGTTTAACTTTATTTTGGATGCAGTAGAGGAGTTGTAATTTTGACTAAAAAAAGCTCAGAATTGTTCCAGTTGTTCGTTTTCTGATCTTGGTACTCCAGCATTCTGCAGAATTAGTTTGTATCGTGGTTGATATGGGTGGATTGACCTGTGCAGAAATGTTGATACAGTGGTGATACATTAACCGGACTGCTTTTAATAATAACAGTGTTTGCTATCGGTGAAGTCAATCTTAACTTTACTCCCCAAAAACTGTAAAACAAAACTCAAGAAAAATTTGTTTTTATTTTAATATTTTATACATTTTTCATGTTGACACTTTATTTTTCTCATTCTTGTTCAGAGCTTGATTAAGTCATAGAGTTTAGGCTTTAATTACGAAAACCGAAAAGAACATTCACTGCAAAATTTTACTGTTGCTGAAAAGCTATAGAAGAAAGAAGGCTAGATTGTAGCTGAACACAGCTGAGTCTTGGTAACTTTTACTTAGCTTTATCAACATCTAGCAATATACATAAAATAAAATTATAGTATATTGACAGCAAATACGAATAACAAAATAAATCATAAGGCAAAAAGTTTTATCAAAATAAAGAATTTAATATGAAAAAAATTTTTTTTCTGAGTATTATCTCACTGTTTTATAAATGTTTAGCGTTATTTCTAAGCCTTAGAACAAACAATTATATTATTTGTCAAAACTGCTTATATTAACCTTTGACAATAGTTAACAGTTACGAGTAACTTTTGTTGAATTAATCGGTGCGTCTGATTTCACTTTAAAATATGCATTAAAAGTAATCAAAATGTGAAGGTAATATCACTTCACAGTAAATTTTATGCTCTCTCAATCTAAGAACCGACCTTCATTCAAAATAAACTTTTGTTGTATCTGTCTGAAAATCTCTTAGAATGATTAAAAATATTTAAAAAAAAAAAAGGAA